CTCCATAAATATCATGTGACCTGCAACTTCCAATAGTGGAGTGACTCTTGCTTATTCAAAATGAAGTCTTAGGAATTTCTCTGTTATCATCTCCTACTTCCCGAAACAAGTATATATTCAAGCCAAAGAGCATACTATTTTATAGATATGCCACATTTAGCATATTGGATTTAATAAATAAAATAAAAACAACAATGGAGCATTAAGGAAACCTCTATTTTAAGTCTTTGAGAGGCAGTAGCTACAAATAAAATGTCCTTAAGATTCAATGTATTTTAAATGCTTTAGCAGTACATATTTTGCATTACTTACTTGGCACATTTAGCAAAATATAAAAAAAAATGAAACAGATGCAAACATCCACATTCACACACTTACCCAAACTTTTGAAGGTAACATGAAAAAACAGGGCATGAGGATAAGAGTTGCCCAGGATTTTAGGAGACATTTTCATGATTGTTTGAAATTTTTATTCAATGAAAATTTTGTATCCATTCTTTGTTAGTTGTCATGCATTTACCCATGTTAAAGCATATCATACATAAGCTCTCCCCAACCTCATCAGGCATTACATTCCCACTGTTATTTTTCTAGTCACTTTTTCACAGAAGGGCAGAAATACTAAATATATAAATACTTCCAAAGGCATCAGGAGGAATGGGTATACATACAGGCGCAAGACTGGTCATAACTGACTCAGATGAAGAACACTGTACCATAATCCAAATCTCCTGGTCTTTATATGTCTAGTGATATTTTAGAGAAGTACCTCCAAAGCAACAACAACTTTTGTTAGTGCCACGAGACACACATTGGAGGCTCACAGAATAGCAGTGACTAAACACCTAAAAGCAAGATGGGGAGCAAAGACATTGAGAGAATTGTGCTGTGACACTGCTGCAAAACGCCAACACCAGATCCTTTGGACTAATAAAAAAAGCCCTGTGATATAATGAAAATGTATCAACATCTTTACATTTGTACCAATATTTTATAGAGCTATCTGCAAAACAATTACTCCCCCACCCCATTTTATTTATCACCATACTGAAGCGGCCTCACAGAATTAATTGCCCTGTGCAGATATAAAACTTTACATTGTATAGAGCCTTTAATACTGTAACTACTAGCACCACCCCAATCCTCTCTCATACAACATTATGATTTTGTCCTACGGAAAGAGGAAGTGTCTGATTAAATGAAAATGCCAATACAATGTTTAAAAGAGAGACTATCCCAACTTGGAAAAAAAATAGCATTAGCTTGTTTTTAAAATTTTGCCTAAATGAATTGCCCAGTATGAAGAAACACCAATCAGACAAAAACTTCTCTAAATCTCTTTACAAATACAGGACATAGAACTTTTAATAGGCTCATCATTTTGGAAATTGTGAAGAAAGTTTTAAATTCTGGGATACTGTATTAAAAAAACAACCCACCCCACCCCCACATTTACAGGGGGATTTTACAATTAAAACAAAATTGTAAAAGACAGGGACAGAGATAATCTCCAGTTTGGCACTGTCATCTAAAGAAACATGCCCCCCCCCCCCACCTCTTCTTTACCTGACTTTTCTTTTATCTACAACTACCATCTTCTGCTAACCACACAATTTTTAATCACATCAAATAAAGTTTTAAAATACAAACTATCCTAACTTTTAAAAGTTTAACATGAAAAAACAGGGTATAGGGATAAGAGAGCTGGCTTCGATTTTAGGGGAAATTTGACATTTGTTTGAAATACTTTTTAGTGAAACTACTGTATGCATTCTTCGTTAATTGTCAGGCTTTAGCACAGGCATTTGTCACACAGAAGCTCTGCCCACCTTCATGAAGCTTTATTCCCCCTATTTTGCCAATCTTTCTAATCACTTTGTCCTGGCCTATCAGAAATAGTAACAATAAATAAATAAAACAACAGTAACAAAATCATTGGGAGGATTACATACTTGGTGATACTTTGTGGTGGTATTTGTGCAGAGCAACAATTCCTTTTTTATCATCACATTGAAGAAGTCCTAAAGAGTCAAGTTTTCCCTGTTCTTATATAACACTTTACATTTTATTTTTACACAATGTGTCACCTCAGGCTAGTCTACACTAGAAGTGCTGCAGCGGCACAGCTGCACTAATATAGCTGCGCTGCTGTAATGCATCCGGTAAAGACGCACTTATGTCGATGGGCGAGAGTTCTTCCATTGGCATAATAAAACCACCTCCACAAGAGGTAGTAGACACCGACACTTAGGTTGGTGTAACTTATGTCGCTCAGATGGGTGGCTTATTCACACACCTGAGTGACATAAGTTACACTGACAGAAGTGGTAGTGTGTACAAGCCCCTAGATATTTTACAATGTCAAATAATACAAGACAGTAGACGACAGAAGTGAGAAATTACAGAAAACTGTGTTATGGGGAGTACAACGGTAATGCAGAGAAACTAAGGGGGGATTAAAAGGCATAATTGAAGTAGAAGAGGGTGTAATTGAAGAGGAGATTTGAAGCAAAGGGGAGCCAGCTGGTTCAGGGTACACCACTTTCCATAAACCCTCCCCCCAATACAAGCACATAGGGCCCTTTTCAGTGGAACGGGTGTGTACGCCTTTGTTTTTTAATGAACTGTAACCTTCCAACAAGTATAAACTATAAAATACAAAACAAAGTGTTCAAATGTCTTCACCCTCACTCCTTCCCTTTTTACAACGGTCTCCATCCCACTATGCACTGATCAGAAATTTCTCCTTACCTGGGAGGAGACTAGGCCTTTTAAAGCATTGTCCCTAAAACTATTGGCTAAGAAAGTACTGTGCAACCATCATATAAAAGAGGACACGCCATTCAAAAAGGTCTGTGAGTTAAAGATGGAGGCTCCTCACAGTCCCTTGAATTAAGCCTCGCCAGCACTGACACTCAAACAGCTCATGAAGAGACACCAGACAGAGGAAACTGTGGGAACGGAAGGAACCAATATACCTTTGGCACAACCAGTGCGTGCCACTCTGGAAGCATGTCATGGAAGCAGGGCAACGGGGAGAGCAGCTGATGAAGGTTATCTAGACAGTGCAGAGGGGGAGCATGAGGCCAGACCGCTGACCCAGCTTTGGTTTAACACTCCAGATCCCAACCAGGATACTCCAATTCAAACAGAGGGGGGTGGGTTGGAGAGGGCTGATAATAGGACCTGGCCATGCTAGCTCAGTGGACTCGCATGTTCAGCTTCCAGCTGAAAGGTCGATGGAGTGAGACCATCCCAAGGCAAATTAAAAAAAAAAAGCTGTGATCTGAAGAGGTCTCTTGACACACAAAGGAAAGGTTTTCAAGCACAGTATAAAAACTAATATGATGCCTTATCTGCATTTCTTCTTTTAAATCTCTCAGCAGCTGAGTGATGGTTCTTTAGAGATCTGGGAGAATGTGTCCGCCGAAAGCCATGAAGGAACAAACAGTTTGGGCCTGGCGTGCTTTTGCCCTGGCCCAAAACCAAATGCTCCATAGGCAGGGGTGCAGGAACAATTTTTATAGTGAGGGTATTGAGAGTCATTGAACCAAACTGTAAACCCTGTATATAGTGGAAACCACTTCAAGCCAAGGGGTGTAGCAGCACTCCCAGAACCCCTACATCCGTAGGATACCAAAAGAAAAGGGGATGCTGATTCTATAGACACATACTATCTAACTCTGAGGAAGAAATCTGGCATGGAGGCTGTGCTAACCCATAACCGGTCAAACTGTTATGCTTTTGATTGTACAAGTTGCCATAAGCGGAATCATCATGCATTGTCTGAAAGAGAAGCAGTCTGAGGACTGCCGAGATTGTGTCATAGATGCCCCAGGCCAGAGCAGCCATGACTGTGTGAGCTGGACTGCACATGATGTGAACCAAAAACTCCAAGATATTTGTGCCTGTTTAACCCAGGAATATTGTGCTCAAGCAGTGGAGTAGGTGAACAATGGGACAGATGCTAGAGACCCAGATAAAGTGTTAGACGAAACAATCAGACCCTCAGATAAATGCTTAATGCAGAATCTTGAACCTTTTCTTCCTTCAGCAAATTACAAAGCCCTGTTGTGAAAAAAAATAAATAAAAGAACTGTTTGTAAAATACCTAAGTTAGAGGGTGCTTTGGGAACAAAACTGCTGATGCAAAAATAAAATAAAGTGAGGGGGAGACGGGGGCTGTAAATAAAATGTTAGTTGCAAATGCCTGTGTGAAGCATGTTTTTCATGGGGCACCCCATTGAGGTCCCTGTGTCACATGAACAGATCGTCACTGAGCTCCTCATGCAAATCCTATGAAAAAACAGCCCCATGCCTACAGCATCTGAGGCACTGGTTTGCCCCTAGCAGGCCAGGAAGCAACTTGAAGATAAGAATCAAGACCTGAACTTGATTCAATATTCTATGGGAAACCAGAGTAGAGACTGAGGGCAGGCCTGAGTTGTCCATGCATAGCCTTTGTCGAGAGAAGTGCTGCAGTGTTCTGTACAAGCTGGAATTTCCTAAGTGCTGACGCTTTCATTCCCAGGTCTATAGCACCGTTGTAGTCCAGCCAACAGATGACAAAGGTGTGAATAACAACTGAGGCCAGCTTATTGTCTGCCAGGATGGGACAGAGTCTCCTAGTCAACTAGAGATAAGAGAAAGCATTACTCACAGGGGCAGCTATGTGAGAGCTTAGTGTCAACAAGGAATCCAAGAGTGCTCCCACACTACACGGGGAACTGGCCAATTGCAGGTAATTGATTTAGATGTAGGAGCTGATCACAGGACATTCAGAGCTTTCTGAGATGTAATAATCAAATCCCATCACAACATGGAAATATTATCTCAGCCTCCTGCTCTGCACGACTCTGTCCCAGAAAGGTGGTTCCATTCTCTGCTTTGATAACCATTACATATCCTCATTACACGGCCACTCCAGCCTGGCCTGACTCGCTGAGACTGTGGGAACCGGCAGAGATGTCATTCACTTGGCCCATCCCTAGTTAGAACACTTCTGTGGTTTCTCCCCTGTGTGGATTCTCTGATGTGAAAAAAGGTAGGTGCTCCGAGTGAAGGTTTTCCCACACTCGGTGCACTTATAGGGCCGCTCTCCCGTGTGGGTTCTCTGGTGTATAATAAGGTCCGAACGCAGACAGAAGCCTTTCCCGCACTCGGGGCATTTGTAGGGCCTTTCTCCCGTGTGGGTTCTCTGGTGTTTTCTAAAATGAGATCGATCACTGAAGGTTTTTGCACAGGTCAGGCATATGTAAGGTCTCTCCCCCGTGTGGGTTCTGTGGTGGGTAACCAGGTACGAGCGCCTCCTGAAGCTTTTCCCACACTCGGGACATTTGTAGGGCATCTCTCCTGTGTGGATTCGCTGGTGTGTATTAAAATGTGACTTGTCACTGAAGCTTTTCCCGCAGTCGGGGCATTTGTAGGGTCGCTCTCCCGTGTGGGTTCTCTGGTGTATAACTAGGTACGAGTTCCGACTGAAGCTTTTCTCGCACTGTGGGCATTTGTAGGGCTTCTCTCCCGTGTGGATCCTCTGGTGGGTCTTAAATTGCGATCTATCACCGAAGCATCTCTCGCAGGTCAGGCATTTGTAGGGTCTCTCCCCAGTGTGAGTTCTCTGGTGAATGACAAGGTGTGAGCTCTGACTGAAGCTCTTCCCGCACTCGGGGCATTTGTAGGGTCTCTCTCCCGTGTGGGTTCTCTGATGGGAAGTAAGGAGGTGGTACTGAGGGAAACTTTTCCCACAGTCAGTGCATATGTAGGATTTCTGCCCCAAGTGGATTCTCTGGTGAAGATTGAGGTCTGAGCTCTTGCTGAAGCTTTTCTCACAGTCCAGGCACTTATAGGGGTTTTCTCCCATGTGGATTTTCTGGTGAATAATAAGAACGGATCTCCAACGGAAGCTCTTCCCACACTCACCGCAGGTGAAGGGTCCCTCTCCAGCAGGGATTCTCGGTTGAACAATATCTCTGATTTCCTCTACCCTTCTGCTCCTCTGAGTGGATTTACCCCATCTACCCCCTGGCTGGTTTCTCTGCTGCCTCTCTGGCCTCTGCTTCCTCTCACAGACTTCTCCCTGCTCAGGACTCTGGGAAACATGCCCTTCGGCTCTTCCCGATACCATCGTGTATGGTTCCACTTGATCAGGACCTTCCTGCTGAAGATTTTCTTCGTTGTTCCCACTCACCGTCCCACTACCTGCTGGGACAGAGAGAGAATCCAGACAGGAATCACTCCCTTTGTTGGGGAGACAGAGAACAGCAAAAAGAGGTATGGCACAGGGGGGAAATATACCCAAACGACTACTGGGGACCAATAAAATAGGATCACCTCACAAACCCTTCCACAGAGGGGAGAGAGTTGGTGACCAATTCTACCTCCTTGTCCCATCTGAATATTGATGAGGGCAGCAGCTATAGGGTTACACAGAACTGGTGAAACTGGCCAAGGATAAAAATAATGGTTTCTGAGTCAATTTAGTTGTCACCTCACCTGTGTGAATATTTCTCAGGATTTCTTTTTCCTCGTAACCTTGGAGATCAGGGACCCATGGCTTCTCCTCACATTCCAGCCGGGAGATCATGTCAGATTTGGAAATTGGAAATCCTGCTTGGGGGGCAAGGAAACAAGTGTTGATCTTGTTCATTAGGGTCAGAGCTGTTACTACTTCGAGATCCATGATCTAAGTAGAAAAACCCAGAAAGGCTCCTTCCTCTCCCTCCCCCAACCCTACAGAGACTGGGCTATAAGAACATAAGAACGGCTGTACTGGGTCAGACCAAAGGTCCATCTAGCCCAGTATCCTGTCTACCGACAGTGGCCAATACCGGGTGCCCCAGAGGGAGTGAACCTAACAGGTAATGATCAAGTGATCTCTCTCCTGCCATCCATCTCCACCCTCTGACAAACAGAGGCTAAGGACACCATTCCTTACCCATCCTGGCTAATAGCCATTAATGGACTTAACCTTCATGAATTTATCCAGTTCTCTTTTAAATGCTGTTATAGTCCTAGCCTTCACAACCTCCTCAGGCAAGGAGTTCCACAAGTTGACTGTGCGCCGTGTGAAGAAGAACTTCCTTTTATTTGTTTTAAACCTGCTGTCCATTAATTTCATTTGGTGGACCCTAGTTCTTGTATTATGGGAATAAGTAAATAACTTTTCCCTATCCACATCACTCATGATTTTATATACCTCTACCATATCCCCCCTTAGTCTCCACTTTTCCAAGCTGAAAAGTCCTAGCCTCTTTAATCTTTTCTCATATGGGACCCGTTCCAAACCCCTAATCATTTTAGTTGCCCTTCTCTGAACCTTTTCTAGTGCCAGTATATCTTTTTTGAGATGAGGAGACCATATCTGTACGCAGTATTCAAGATGTGGGCGTACCATCGATTTATATAAGGGCAATAATATATTCTCCGTCTTATTCTCTATCCCCTTTTTAATGATTCCTAACATCCTGTTTGCCTTTTTGACTGCCTCTGCACACTGCGTGGACGTCTTCAGAGAACTATGACGACTCCAAGATCTTTTTCCTGATTCATTGTAGCTAAATTAGCCCCCATCATATTGTATGTATAGTTGGGGTTATTTTTTCCAATGTGCATTACTTTACATTTATCCACATTAAATTTCATTTGCCCTTTTGTTGCCCAATCACTTAGTTTTGTGAGCTCTTTTTACTATACATCGTAAAAGATCCAATGAGGCACTATTTTTGAGCAACCACTCTGCCTAGGGAATGGCCCTAACTTATTCCCATGAGGAGTTGAGCATAGTTGCTACACTCTTTAGGTATCTGGGGTACAACCAAGTCTCCATCGCTGTCAATTATAAACCCTCCATCCCTCCTCACACACAGACACACACGCCTCCACAACACAAACCAGAGCAGGAAAACATTAAGGGCTGGTAAAAAAATCCACAGCCCTGAACGACTTCGTTAAGCCAACCTAAGTCTCTGTGCAGACAGCACTAGGTTGACGGAAGAATTCTGTCGATCCAGCAACCGCCTCTCAGGGAGGTAGATTACCTATAGCAATGGGAGTTCTCTGAAGCACTACAGCAGTACACCTGCAGCTGTGCCGCTATAGGGTTTTAAGTGTAGACACAGCCTTAGGGAACCAAAAGGGATATATTCAGGAAATGGAAGGAGGGCATGTGTCCAAGGAAGCATACATGGAAATAGCACAAGCATGTAGGGACAAACTCAGGAAAGCCAAGGGAAAGAATGAGTTATAGCTGGCAAGGAATGTTAGAGACAACCAAGAAGGGGTTCTATAAATATGTCAGGCAAAATAGAAAGATCAAGGACGCTGTGGGTCCACTGCTCAGTGGAGAAGGTGAGCTGGTAACGGAAGATGATAGGAAGGCAGAGGTGCTCAATGCCTACTTTGCTTCAGTCTTCTCACAAAAAATAACATGGATGATTAGCGACGTTACCATAGATAATAAAGGGGAAGGGCTGCAGATCAGGATAAATAAAGAACATGTCAGAGATCTTCTGCCATTTAGAATGAATTCAAATCAGCAGGGCCGGATGCTATTCACCACAGGCTGCTGAAGGAAATAGCTGAAGAAATCTCAGAGTCACTGGCAATAACATCTGCAAACTCATGGATGACAGGAGAGGTCCCAGATAACTGGAGCAGGGCTAATGTAATGCCCATCTTTAATGGCAGGTCTATACTATGGCAGGGATTGACACTCTGAGATAGATCCACCGGCGATCAATTTAGCGGGTCTAGTAAAAACCCACCAAATCGACTGCAGATCGCTCTCCAGTCGACCCCTGTACTCTACCCCCGACGAGAAGAGTAAGGTAAGTCGACGGGAGATTTTCTCCCGTTGACCCCTCACAGCATAGACCCCACGATAGCTCAACCTAAGGTATGTCAACTCCAGTTACGTTATTCACGTAGCTGGAGTTGTGTTGCGTAGTGTAGGTTGATTTACCGCGGAAGTGTAGACATAGCCTAAAAAGGGGAAAAAGGAGGAGCTGGGGAACTATAGACCAGTCAGCCTGACTTCAATACCTGGGAAGTTACTAGAGCAATGTATAAAACATTCAATTTTCAAATACCTGGAGGATGAAGTGGTGATCACTAGCAGCCAACATGAATTTACCAAGAAGAAATCATTCCAAACCAGCTTGATTTCCTTCTGTGACAAGGTAACTAGTTTGGTGGATGGGAGAATGCGGTGGACATAATATACCTGGACTTCAGCAAGGCTTCTGACAATCCCACATGACATTCTGATAAGTAAGCTGAAGAAAAGTGAGCTTGGTGGCACTACCATTAAGTGGATACATAATTGGTTAAACAACCACAAACAAAGAGTAACTATTAATGGAATGATGTCAGATTGGAGGGAGGTCTCAAGTGGGGTTCAAAGGGATCTGTTCTGGGCCCAGTGTTGTTTAACATCTTTATTAATGGCCCGGATGTAGGTATATAGAGCATACTGATCAAATGTGCAGATGACACAAAGCGGGGGGAGGGGGAGAGTTGCCAACACTTTGGAGGACAGAGCTAAAATTCAGAGGGATCTTGACAAATTGGAGAGCTGGGCTATAGACAACAAAATGAAATTCAACAAAGACAAATGTAAGGTGCTAAACTTAGGGTAGAGAAACCAAATGCACAAATACAGAATGAGGGATAACTGGTTTGGCAGCAGCATGGCTGAGAAGGATCTGGGAATTGTGGTAGATCACAACCTCAACACAAGTCAGCAATGTGATGCTGTTGCTAAAAAAGCAAAGCAATTTTAGGTTGCATTAACAGAGGCATAGTGCAAGTCATGGGAGGTGACAGTACAGCTCTATTCAACACTGGTTTGGCCTCAGCTGGAGTACTGTGTCCAATTTAGGTCACCAACGTATAGAAAGGATGTCGAGAAACTGGAAAGGACCCAGAAGTGAGCGATCAAAGGGATGGAATGCAAGCCATCTGAGCAAAGGCTGAAGGAACTGGGTATGTTTAGTTTGGAAAAGAGGAGATGAAGGGGGGACATGACAGCGGTCTTCAAATACTTGAAAGTTGCCATAAAAAAGATGGAGAAAGTTGTTCTCTCTTGTCACAGAGGGAAGGACAAGAGGCAGTGGGTTCGAACTACAGCATAACAGATTTAGACTAAATCTCAGGAAAAAATTCCTAACTATAAGAACAGTCAGACAATGGAACAGATGCCTTGGGAGGTTGTGAAAGCTCCTACATTGGAGGTTTTCAAAACGAGGCTGGATAGCCATCTGTCTTGGATGGTTTAGACACAACAAATCCTGCATCTTGGCAGGGGGTAAGACTAGATGACCCTTGTGGTCCCTTCTAACCCTATGATTTAGACTGTGAGCTCTTTGGGGTGGGGACTCTCTCACTGTCGGTCTGTGCAGTGCCTAGCTCAAAGGGGCCGTGATCACTGATTGGGGCCTTTAGGTGCTGCCCAAATATGAGTCGCCAAGAAATAAACAGAGGAAATGCCACCCAGGGCCTGGAAAGAAAATCACTAGACACCTGCCCTCAGTCTGGAACAGACAGCAAAAAGCTTTCTGTCATGGGATCATGATGGAAGAGCACTAGGGCACATCCAATGGCTGGTCAATGGTCATTCAGCCGTTCCCATCATCCATGAGACCTGTTCTGCCCCCGCAGAGTCCTGAGTCTGAGTGCAGTGTGAAACACAAAGACCAGCCTTCCTCTCTCTTCCCCCCCCCCCCCCATTGCAGCAATATACCCCACCAAATTCGTCTGGACCATAAATAAACCCTTGCTCAGCCCCATGACACTGCTCCGTGCCCTTCCTGGCTGGTGGAAGAGAGTTGAGAACATCTGGGGCCTCCCACTAACAAAGCTGGCTGAGGCAGACCACAAACAAGATGGAGAAGTGCATTTGAAAACTGGCCGCTGGGGACCTGGGCAGAGCCGAGTCATGAAACACTTGTCTATCTCAGAGGCTCCAAAGGATGTTAGCCCTGGAAACAGGAGGAAACAATGAGTTTGTCCCACTTGAAAACCTTAGTTATGGGAAGGCTAGCATTGTTATGTCCCTGCATCTTCTTTCCTGGGGTATTGAGGGGCCAGTCTCTCACACAGGGGATCTGGGACTATCATGTGAAATCTGGGGGACCAGTGAAGAAGCATGCACATAAACTGACCAAGATGCTCCAGACGCACCCCCCACCCTTGCAACACACACACACTTTATAATACCCAAGGGGACAGGAATCCTTACCCAGCGAGGTAACAGTCTCATAATTCTCCTGCATGACGCCCCAGTAAAATGCTCTCTGACTCAGGTCCAGCAGAGCCCACTCTTCCTCCGTGAAATACACAGCCACTTCCTCAAAGGTCACTGGTTCTACTGCAGACATTTCCCTTCCCTTCCCTCTGGGGGATGGGACAATCTGGACTTGGATGTTACTCTGCAGCCTATCAGGGTGAGAAGGACAATTAGTCCATTTCACACCCCAATTCCCCCCACGTTCTCTCTCTGCAGACACATTCTAGATTCTGCCACGTGGGGAAACAGTTCCACAAAGATTTTCAAAATCAGCAACATCAAGTTAGTCCCAAAATCAGTGCTTAATTTGTGTCAGGGCTGAGCCCCAGCACCTCTAGCCTTGGCAGTTCATAGTCCCTGCACCTCTGGCCTTGCTGCATCAGTTATGAATGTAAAAAAATTGCTTGAGCCTGAGCACCTCTTACATTACAAATTAAGCACTGCCCAAAATCCACATTCATTTTTCTCAATAAGTCGTCTGAGATTCCAAAATGCTCAGCCAGAAACATTGGAATTCAGTTCTGAATGCCTTTTATTCAGATGCCTGAACACAGACTTAGACACCTACCTTTAGGCTCTTGTATTTCAAGACCCTGGCCTGGTCACTTTATTCCAGTGGAGGTGCCGCCTCTCCCACCAGGACTAATCCGATTGAGGCAAAACAGAGATTTAAGTGAAGTCAATGGGCCCACTCACATGGCCAAAGACAAGCATATAAGTAAGTGTTTACCGGATTAGATCTGAAGTTAGTACACAAATCATATCAAAAAGAAAAAAAAAATCAGTGTATATGCACAATGGAGATTTACCAACCCTTATAACAAAGCAATATCAAAACAGCTCTTTGAATATTATAGAGACGAGAATGTCTGAGCCAGAAATTCTGTCAAATGTAGTTTATAGCCAAAATTTTTAACATGCAAGGGCTGTTGAAAAGTCGATTAAACCTTTTTATGCATAGTGCTTCTTTCCCATTCTGCCCCTTCTCAAAAATAGGCTGAGTGTCTTTTCCTCAATGTTTCTACAATAAATTCACCCCTGGACAGAAATTTTCAACCCTAAAGATGAGCATACGATTTGCCAGACTGAATCAGACCCAAGGTCCATAAGCAAAGGAACTGGTCCCTTCAGGCTAAAGTTGTGCAGCCAAAGAGCGGAATCCCAGGAGCCACTTTGGGGGATCCCCCTAACACTGTCCCAAGGGCAGCACATCCCCCCCAGCAGTGCAGGGACCAGGCAGAGGCAGGAACTGGCTTTTCCCCTCCCTGCTCCTCCCCTTGTCCCAGGAAAGTCAATCTGCCCCGGGGTGCTGCAGGAAATGGAGCTGGGCAGGGCTGGGAACCTCCCTCCCCTGCTAGTCTCTGTCCCGTCTCCCTCCTGCCCCCTCTCCCCTCCCCTCGGGCTGGGAGACTCGGTCCCTGGCCCGGCCCGTTCGCTCTCCCGGAGCTGGCTCGGCTCCTGCAGGCGCTCAGGGGGGCAGAGCCTGGGGGGGTCAGGGAGGGCAGCAGCTCTGGGACTCGCAGATCCCCGCCGCCCGGGAGCGGAGCTGGGGCGAGGAGGGGCCGTTGGTGCAGAGTCACTTCCCCGTCCGGCCCCAGCCCTTTCCCCCGGGTCTCTCCCCTCACCTGCAGGCTCCGGCTCAGGGGCTGGTGTCGGCAGAGCCCGGGGCTGCCCCAGGGGCTGGTTCCAGCCCCGGAGAAAGTCCCCCCGGCTGGGCACAGAGGGGCGCTAGGGAAGGGCTCTCCCCGCACACACCCCGCTGGGCAGCAGTAGCGGCTTAGCCCGGGCTTCCGGCTCACAATGGAGGCGGCAGCAGCGTCTGACCTGGGAAGCTCAGCCCCGGATCTGCGGGCGGAGAGCAGGAGGCTGGAGCCAGGCGGATGCTCAGTAACAGCTGCTGAAGCCGCTGCCCTCACTCTGCCCGTACTCCCCCCAGACTCTGTTTTCGGCCATCAAAGAGGGTAAAAAGGGGGGGGAGGATGCAGCGTGCTCAGGGAAAGGCGAGGCAGAGAGAGGCCAAGTCAGGGTCCAGGCGCTGCCGGATGGGGGCAGAGGGGATAAAAGTTACTGCAAAGGGGGTGAGCTAGCTGCGGGGGCTGCCAAACGGAGGGGCTTGTGCTCCTGGCTGGCTGGAACATCTCAGCTCCCCCTCCCCAGACCTGGGTGTTAAAGGCGCAGTGTCACGCCGTGCCTAGACAAGGCAGTTCTTCTCTGTCTGAAACGGCGAGCTGAGCTGTTGAAGGAGACCGGAGTCAGTGGAATATTGTTGTAAACAACCACACACACACCACAAACATGCACATGTGCACACACACAACAGATACAACGCACACACAGAACATAACACACACAACACACAGATAAATCATCATTTTCATGTGGTTTTGGTGTTTAAAAAACTTCTTTGGCAATTTCTGTGGCTGTAGCATGCGGGCACGTCCAGCAGAGGCGTAGCGAGTGCCCTCCGGGGCCCCGCAAGGAAGGGGGGCCCTAAAAGTGGCAAAATAAATACCGCATTCCAGTTTCTGCATTGTAAGGGGCCCCGCCCGGACATATGTTCGGAGGGGGCCACGTTCTTTGTTGCTACGGCCCTGACATCCAGCCTCATATCAGTTCACTTGTTTGACTTCTTGGAGTTCTGATTGTCAGGATTGGCCTCCCTTTCCTGTAATCCACTGTCAATGTAGCGTCACTCCTTTTAATTATGTAACGTTTGCAATTATTTTTGACTCATTGCTTTTACAGCTCCAACATTTATTTTGGTTCACATTTTGTGCAGATGACTTGACTGTTGCTACTTTAATGATTATAATAGCAAATAATCATGAACAATATAATTGTTAAGATTGATGATTAATATTAAATTATGCAAATAGCGTAAGCAATCCCATAGAATCATAGAATATCAGGGTTGGAAGGGACCTCAGGAGGTCATCTAGTCCAACCCCTGCTCAAAGCAGGACCAATTCCCAACTAAATCATCCCAGCCAGGGCTTTGTCAAGCCTGACCTTAAAAACCGCTAAGGAAGGAGATTCCACCACCTCCTAGGTAACCCATTCCAATGCTTCACCACCCTCCTAGTGAAAAAGTTTTTCCTAATATCCAACCTAAACCTCCCCTGCTGAAACTTGAGACCATTATTCCTTGTTCTGTCATCAGGTACCACTGAGAACAGTCTAGATCCATCCTCTTTGGAACCCCCTTTCAGGTAGTTGAAAGCAGCTATCAAATCCTCTCTCATTCTTCTCTTCTGCAAACTAAACAATCCCAGTTCCCTCAGCCTCTCCTCATAAGTTATGTGCTCCAGCCCCCTCATCATTTTTGTTACCCTCCGTTGGACTCTTTCCAATTTTTCCACATCCTTCTTGTAGTGTGGGGCCCAAAACTGGACACAGTACTCCAGATGAGGCCTCACCAATGTCGAATAGAGGGGAATCTCACAGTGAGTTCTAGTACAACACTTCCTATGTTTTACTGTGATTTTGTAATATGCAATTTTTCTCCACAGTACAAGTTTATTATTTGTGATCATATGACTAAGGCTGACTGAGTTCTTGGGTTGTCATCAGCATACAGGAGTTGCCATTTTCTTTGATCCAGTGAGGATTGCCTTTCTCAGCTGTAGTTTTGCCTCTCTTTGCAGCACCCCTGTGCTTTTTTCACATATCACCACTTGAGTGTAGAACTAACTTCCCAATATATTCAGTAAGGGCACTGTACTATCCTGTATGAAATTCCTTTCAAAGGCAAATTTGCACTGTAATTTTTATTCAACATAGATATACACTATCAAAACTGTATGACTCGTGCACCAAAAATTATGAACTTTTAAAAAATAAATATATTTGGGGTTCTTCTTATCTGCCTTTTTGTTTCTGAGCCTTTAGGGTGCACTAGTTTAATATTTTCAGGCTTTTTTTTGCTGCAGCCATGAAGGGCTAGACACTTTTTTGTTGTTTTTGTTAAGGAAAGCTGTGTTGCTCAACCAATCCTTTGATTCCAGTGTTGTCCCTGACTCTGTTCTCCTTCCCTCGGCAGTACATTGTGACCCACCTTCCACTGTGGGTCACTGCCTGCACAGGGTTGTGCAGGGGGCTGTGCTCCCCAGAGCATCCCTGTCCATTCCAGTGGAGGCATCAGGGTTCTCCAAAATCTGCTTTGCCTGCAGGACATGGCGCCATGCAGGAGAGTCAACGGCAGAGTGTGCTGGCACATGCACAGGTGCAGTCACAGACGTGGTGGCTGGCACAGCTACTGGTGGTGGAACTGAACTATCCCTGCTGCTGGCCCATGCATTCAGCATCTACTCCAGGATCAATCAGTCCTGTTCCACGTTCCTACACTCTTCATCCAGGAATTTCTCCTTCATCCACTTGAACTCCAGGTGCTCTTTGCTCCTGCATGCCACAACCCTGAAAAGGTCCTCCATGTTCCTCAGTGTGGACCAGTTTTAGGACCCAGAGTCCTGGGTGGGAGGCTTGGCCTAGCAGAAGTGCCTGCCGGTGGAATGAAACAGACAGCATATTAATTGTATTGCTGCAAGGGGAAAAAATAAAGAATCCCCCCACTTTGCTTTCTGCATCTACACATGGCTGCGGGTTGCAATGTTTTGAAATGTGTATTTAGTCCTTTATGAATTCTCCTGTGCAGACCTCCTACTTCTAGCATCGGGAGAGCCCTACCCACACACCGTGGTAAGGAACATTCATTTTATTTAAAAGGAAAAAAAAGTGTTTAAAAAAAGCCACCCCTGGCTGAGGGAGGGAGGGCTGAGATCATGTGAGGGCACAGTTACCAACTGGCTCTAACTTTGTTTCTGGCTGTGGAAGCCATAGAAGATATACATGGGTGGCAGATATAATAGGCCAGGGGAGGCTAAGCCTCCCAACCCATGCTGTGTGGCTCCTCCCATGCTCCACCCTGAGGCCCCATCCTCACTCTCCCTCTCCCCCAAGGTGGTCGGGGGCCCAGCTTGGGCTAGCGGCCTGGAGCTTGGGGCTTGGGACGGCTGGTGGCCTGGCCCCAGGGTGGCTTAGGCTGGTGCTTGGGCCGCCCAACAACCCTGGGGTTGGGCCAGTGCTTGGGCTGGCTGGGGGATTGGTGCAGCTGGGGCGAGCGGGCTGGCGCTCCTCTGGCTGCGAGGGGAGGAGGGGCCTTGGGGCTCCGGCAGATGAGGGGGACAGAAGGGGCAGGATCTCAGGCGGAAGGACTGGGGCCAGGGGTCTAGCACCCCCGAAGGAGGGGTTTCACATGCTGCCCATGAAGATATACATATTTTGGAAATATTAGAATGGAAGAAGGAAGAAGTTTTCCAGGCAAGTGGTGGGATCCCATCATCTTATGCAAAGGAGATATTTAGGTGACTGAACAGCATGTGTGTAAATGGAGTGGTTCTACCGGAGGAAGGCTGGGGGAAAAAAGTTCTCTCTACCCAGACATCTGAACAATTGTTTGGAATTCCTGCTTCAGGGGGGAAAATCAAGATGTTGGAGTAGGATGCTGAGTCTTGCAAGTGGCAAAGTGGATTCCCCTCCCCCTCGTCCTCCCACCACAGCCTGGAAGTCCAGGAAGAGGCAGGAAGTCCAGGAAGAGGCAGCCAGCTAAGAATGTCTGCTGCATGAAATGTCATCTAAAGTCACCTGGCAGAAGTGGAGGAAAATCAGGACAATAAAATAGGCTGAGTGGACAACAAGCAATGAGGACCACAAAGAACTTCACCACTCTCTGAAACCGAATGGATTTATAAGCCTGTGCTGTATGGGACTGTGCGGTACTGTGGTTTGCTAGCCAAAGTCTGAGGCTGGGTCTACACTACAGCGGGGGTCCGACCTAAGATACGCAACTTCAGCTACGTGAATACCGTAGCTGAAGTTGCGTATTTTAGGTCGGCTTACCTGGCGGTGAGGACGCGGGAAAGTCGACCGCTGCCGCGCTGCCGCCGACTCCGCTGCCACCTCTTGCCGAGGTGGATTTCCGGAGTCGACGGCAGAGCGATCAGGGATCGATTTTACCGCATCTTCACTAGACGCGGTAAGTCGATCCCCGATAGACCGATTGCTACCCGCCGGATTGGCGGGTAGTGAAGACATGCCCATCAGTGTAACATGACATTAGTGTTCTTGAGTGGTTACCACCAAACTGTGCTTGCAAAGACATGCACTCATGCCTCCTAGGCCTGTAAGCCTTTACTTGTTTTGCTAGCTATAATTGCAAACAGAACTTGTCCGAGACATTAGGGTGTTGTGGCTACATTTTTTTTCTCCCTTTGGCAAAGTCAAAAGTCCTTGAG